TACCAGGCCGGGTAATGGGATGATAACGGGATGAGAATGGTCATTTGACGGTGTCCTAAGTCATGGTAGGAAACCTCCATATGGCAAGCTATGGGAATATATCAATGGGAGATCTTCAGGATCCTAAAAATGAAGGTACTGTACCATATTTCTGGCCATATTTTCTGGGGATATTCCCTTACATAACCCTGAAAAATAGGCCTTATATATGGTAGGTACCTCCAATTTAGGTTCCTGAGACGGCCAGTGAATATAGGGTATACAACCAACAATCACTAAGTTGAGGCCGCCAGTATGAAATCGCTGTTGGCGCACAGTTCACTTGGGCCCAACTATAGCAGGCCTCAGCTCGTATGGATCTATGGTCACATGGTATGTGGTTGATGGTCCATTCCATAATGCAAATCTGTATCCTTACAATGGGTTATATAATACGAATTCCTATGGATTGATGACCATCCTGCAATATGAGTATATCATTTAGTTTTGACCAAAGCACATTATGCATCTATAACCCTTTGATGGGGATATTTAATGGGATAATATTCATAATATCAATGTGTAAGCGTTATATGGATAAGATGAATCATAATATTAAAAAAATGGCTAATTAATGATATGGATAAGATGCGTGGATATTTCATGAGATTTATATATATACAACCAACCAACACAGATCAATGGAGTTGTAGGGTAAAATCTTCACCTGAATGCATGGTTTTTACATGCTTTGTTTACCCTAAATATAGTAGGGTTCCTGGGGATTTTACCTTCAAACCCTGGTGACCATAAAATTTGTGCATATTTAAATCATAAGTCTTACAACAGTTGGATACTGAAGTACCCCCCAATTTCTTCGAGGTGTCTTGAAATAGAACACCCCAGTTTACCATTGGTGTGGCCTGTTAAAGATGATCTATTTTGCAGATTGGCAGCATGTTTATTCTTGGAAAATAGAAAGGGAAAACGGATGAAAATGGTACTTCTGGTTGGTGGTTGACCTACCCCTCCGAAAAATATGAGTTCGTCAGTTGGGATCATGACATTCCCAACTGAATGGAAAGTCATAAAATTCATGTTCCAAACCACCAACCAGTACTTTTCATTGGAATTATATGCAAGTCTTTTGGGAACACTCCCGATCTGGGAATGATAGACCATATATGATTCACAAGTTCACAAACAGACCATCGCTGCGGGAGAATTGCCCTACCCTGTGGCAAGCAAAAATGGCAAACTCCCCCCCGCATGTCTTTAGAAAGACATAGATCTGTTCATTTGGGAACCTATTTGGTGGGGCTCCATGATTGGGTGGATTGAATTGCAGCCATTTTGCCCAAACCCCCATCCTTGCTGTTGCCAACAGAGACTTGTTGGTGCGTTCAATCCACCATTTCATTGATGTCTTGAGTGCCTGAATTTTGGTAGGCTTAAGCCATCCATATTTCATGTTTCATGGGGCAATCTCAATCCTCTTGGACTGTTTGTTGTTAGTACCACCCCATTTTGGCAACGTAACCCCCACTTTTTGGTGCTAAGCAAATGACCTGTCCGTAAAATCCCATATTACTGTTCATGTTAAGAGTTAAATTCCATCAAGACGCCCAAGGTCTGTTCATGAAACCCGCCCTTTTCAAAAATTCACTCATCTTGGATGCCAAAAAAGATCATACAAAAAAAAAAACACTAACCTCCCAATGGGGCACCATCTTCTCATCTTCCAAGCGTCGTTTCTCCTCCTCCGCTCCTGGTGGTGGCCCCGGCGGCGGCGCCGGTGCCGGCACCACGCGCCGCTCCGGCGACCGCGGGAAGAGCTGCGCGCGCGCGGCGAGCGCGGCGACCGCACGCGGCGGTCGGAGCGCGACCGCGAACGCGAGCGGTGCCGCGAGGGCGAAGTGTGGCGATCACGGTGGTCCTGCTTGGATGGGTCCATTTTGAATGGCTAAATCACCCATGTTTACCCTCTGGTAATGACTGTTACATAGCTATTGAAAATGCCATAGAAATAGTTGATTTACCTATTAAAGATGGCGATGTTCCAGTTCGCTATGTTAATGGCTAAGCGGCTAAAGTTACCCTTCACATCCTAAAAAAACAGGTTTTCCGGTTTTCCGAAGTGTTTTTGCCCCAAGAAAACGATCGGCCCAATAATTGATGAAGATTTAGTGGCTCAGAATGATCAACAAGATGGGTTGATAAATGTTTAATTCATTTTTTTGATGGGGATGATAGGGGATTTAGCTTGATTTAGCTGGGTAAAGCTTGATTTAGCTGGGTAAGTAATGATTGATGGTTAATGGATTTGGGAGTCACTTTCCATTTCCATCTTTGTTTCAGGAATATCTGAGTGTGCAATCCAGGCATCGTGAGTTGCTGATAACCCACATTTTACATGTAGCCCATAATGATTGCTGAAATGCCATTCCCACTTACTGAGAGGGATGCATCGGCAATACTTGGGGATATTCAAATCATATTCACCGAGAAAAGTCGCCACATGTCACAGGGAGTAGGCTGAAATTTGACCCACAAAAGCTTCAAAACCCTGCCACTATCTGCTTGGCTGCTAAAGACTCACCAGGAAACTGTTGTGTAAAAACAGCCAGGTACAGAGGGTTCCAGGGTTCCTGTGCAGCTTTTCCTTTTACCAATTCTGGCCACATGTAACTGGGGTAGACAGTCCACTTTAGGGATGATTCCCATGACAAAATACTTCCACCGTTCCAGCGACGGTAAACCACGACGTGAGGTCATGATTTAAAAAAAACAGAATCATATGTATCTGGTGTATGTATATATATATATGTGTGTGTGTTTTATAAACAATCATTGTACACATGTGGTTTTTAACCACCTATTCGGCCATGGTTTTGAGAAGCACCATCAGCCGTTGTAAAAAAAAAAATCGCCAACTCCCAGCGGTTAAACCAGCGATTCGTTGCCCCTCCTGTGGTCGACCTGCAGGGGTTGCAGCTGAGATGTCATGGAGAAACGGCAAAGTTGTGATGGTAGAAATATGATGGGTTATATGATGGGATTATATATTATATATAGTAACATATCTGGTTGGTGGTTGAGCCCTACCCCTCTGAAACTATGGTTTATAGGTGATATATCTAGAAAAATAACTATGGTTTATAGGTGATATATCTATATACTGGTTGGTGGTTGAGCCCTTAAAAATATATATATATGGAGTGAAAGTCAGTCGGGATGATGACATTCCCAATATATATGGACAAATGAAAAATGTTCCAAACATTTCCAAACCACGAATCAGATGAGATCAGATGAGATAAAGGAGGCAGACATCTAGAAATATATGCTAGAAATATGTTCATCTGGTATAAATTTATGCTAGAAAATCCATCGATTTTTGGGTCATTTTCGGGTCGGGATATGATGAGATATGATTTCTATTGATTTCTTATCAATCGACTGGATTACATAATTTAACCATGTTTAACCACAATTTAACCACGATTTAACCATGTTTTCTATATGATTACTGGAAAATTGTGGTAAAACATGGTTAAATTATGATGTTGACCATCCTTTCTGGGCCAGTCCGCAGGTAAAACATGGTAATTTCCTACCTTCTCATAAGGCCAAGCTTCAAGACCCTGCATGGCCAAAAGCCAAGCCACGATCCGATACGTAACTGAAGACAGTTTCAATGGCCATGACTCAGGATCCGATTGATTGGAGGTACCGATTCCATATCTAAGGCCTATTTTTCAGGGCTATGTAAGGGAACATCTCCATAAAATATGGCCAGAAATATGGTACTCACGTACCTCCATTTTAGGATCCTGAAATTCCCATTGACAGTTTCTGTAATATGTTGCATGAACATTTCCACGTCTATGAACTTTTTTGTTGGTCAAATCACCAACCAGTACAAACATGGATTTCATGGGTTAACCTCATGGAACTCATGCAAAACTTTGCGGGCAAAAAACTGATCATTTGCAGATGGGTCGAAATTGGCCATGCCAAGACTCACATGGTAGAAGAGATTACCTTCAAATGGTAGCCAAACAAGTGGGGGTCTTCAATATTTCACCCGTAATGGAATCATCATCGGCAACGAAGAAATGCCGAGTTGGCACTCGACTTGAAATCAACCTGTTTGGGTGTCCCAAAAATTCAAGCCGACAAGGGAAATGAAATTGATCTTACTCGGTGCTTCACTCCAGTCAGCAGGTGAAAAAATCGGTTACAACTGGGCTGGCCCTACCCTGCTGGGATTATGACATAGAAGCCCAGTCTATTTATTTCTGAACCTCGCATTTTGGCTCGTTGAACCGCGAACCGTATGATTGGCTACTATCAGGGCCTATGATTTCATTTGGGCGCGGGTATTGCCCACGAAAAGGAATCCCTTTCCCTATTAAACACCCCCCAGAAACTAAGCTGGGTCTGTTTTTTTTTCGATGAAATCACATATCACCGGGACCATAGAACAAAACATTTGGAGGATGGGATTACCTGGGTTTTACCTGGGATGTACCTCCACTTGCTGGGACCACCAGTCCTGCCAATCCAGCCTCGCTCGTTCTGGTGATTTTTCACTGCCTGCTGCGGTGAAACCCTGAGGGGTATGCATTCAACTTGTGGATCTATGATGATCGTTCTGTGCACATATTCTGCAAGCCCAAGTCATAGATAGAAAAGTTGGAAAACTGGTAATCAATATATCCTGGTTGGTGGTATACCTACCCCTCTGAAAAATATTAGTCAGATCATGATCGCTAAGCGAGGAAAGATACCCAGTAATCAAACATGGCGTGCTGGAACATCGATCGGAATCTTACGCATCCTTCTCCCTGAAAATTGGCCACCAGGGCGGGATATACCCCCATTCTCAGACCCAACCAAATCCTCCGGTAATTGAACATTGGGTGCTGAAAAATCCTTTAGTTCGATGATTTTCCGAGCGAAAACCCTCTATATCTAGATCAAGGATTTCCCAGCCATGGTTCATGATGTTCATGAGGCTAAACCTTCCTTTTCTTGAAAAAAACATCGGCATCTCTTGGCACCTTGGTCACGTAGCCCGAGGGATTTCGCACGCGGTGCGCTTCAGACAGGCTCTGTAAGATGCTCTCAGCAACCTGCGACGGGTTGGAGGCACTGCAACCTCCAAGGGGGGCGAATGACCAGCGAAATATGCAAGATGGGGCCCCCAGTCGATAGCGTGAACCGTTGGTTTCTATGTGGTTTAACTATGGTTTATGGTAGATATAACGAACTAGTATTCATGGAGATTATCATGGTTTATAAACCAACGTTCACATCACTGGGGGGGGGCCCATCCTGTGTGGATGATCAGCATATTTCACAACAATATGGGGATGATCTGTGGTTAATAGTGGTTAATAGTGGTTAATAGTGGTTAATAGTGGTTAATAGTGGTTGGAAACCATAGGAAATCATAGTGGTTTAATGAGATTTATAGCTGATTTATGGTGTTTTTATAGTGGTTAATAGTGTTTTTTATTGTGGTTAATAATGGTTAATCATTATCTGGTTGGTGGTTGAGCCCTACCCCTCTGGTAAACGTTTACAGTTTGCTGTTGAAAATCACCATTTTTAGTGGGTAAACCAACTATTTCGACTGGGCCATTTTCACTATAAATGGCCATGTTCAATAGCAAACTGTTGAATTACCAGAGGGTATATAGTAATAAGTTGAACCCCTTCATCCTTCTGGGGGTTTTATGTGGATCAACTGTAAAGATTGGCTGAATCAACCGGCAACATCCGAAATTTGCGGGGAAAATTTCGAATAACCTGGACAAATGTTCAGCGAAGAACGAAACAAAATGGGATTTATATAATGCTGGTTGGTGGTTTGAACCCCTCTGAAAAAAATTAGTCAGTTTGGATGATTATTCGCAATATATGGAAAAATACAAAATGTTCCAATCCACCAACCAGTAATGGTAATATAGTGAAATAATCTTGTCTTGTGAAATATCCGTGGAATATTAATTGAATATTTGTTTAAGCACGAAAAATGGTGGATCAGTAGGACTCCAATGGGATTATGATAAGGTTTATTTGTGATGATGATTTACCCTCCGCTGATCAAACTTGGCTGGCTGGAAAATCGCACATCATAAGCATTTAAATCGGGAAACACATCTAGAAATGAGGGATTTTCCGGCGGACGCAGATGATCCCAGGAGTCGTTGGAATTCCGACCTTCCAGGTCTATTTTCTGGGTGTTTTTCTCCATGATGCTTTCTCAGAAACAAGAGACAGTGACTAAACACAAATACCCCTAATGATATCTAATGATCATAAGTCCCGCTTTTTTGGCTCGCATTTGCACCCGGTCAAACTCATCACAACTGCTACCAGTTGCCAACGGACCCCAAAGACACTTTCGCCGTTCTTTACGGAAATCACCCAATGTTGAAAGTGAATAATATTGAGAGCATGGACAAATCTTGGAATACTGTTTTTCACTTGCCTACTCAGTTCTAGTGCTGCAAAAACAACAGTGTCACCCTGGTGATTAGTCAATTCAAAAACAGAAAATGTTTGCCAAACTTACAAATGGTGATTTTCCCATTAAAAATTGTGATTTACCCATTAAAAATGGTGATTTCCCGTTAAAAATGGTGATTTTCCTATTAGAAAATGCTGATTTTCCAATTGGCAGAGAGGCCAAACTTTGGCTATCTTTCCCCCCAAACGTTGGTGCACCTCCTCGCTAGGTATCCCAACATTTGGCTATATGATAAAATTGGGCATGGTTTATTTTTTCGTTTTTAACATTACTTGGATTTGCTTGCAGTAAGGGGTCCCCAAAAAATGAAAAATATTCACTTCATCGATTCCCCAGTCATGGTGGATTTCCTATTGGGAAAATAAAAAAACACCTTAAACAAAACCCAGACTACAAAGGGTGAAGTCTTCTTCAATTGCCACTGGCAAGTTGGCCATTCAATTTGAATATATGCTCCGGTGGATTTTTTTCGAGAAATCGGTGATGCTTGGCGGCGCCAGAGAAATGTTCCGGAGGGGCTAGTGTCCAACAAATGCTGATCAGTTTTGCAATTACCCTCTGGTAAACTAACATAACTGTGGAAAATTACCATTTTTTATGGGTAAATGAACTATTTCTATGGCCATTTTCAATAGCTATGTTGGTTTACCGGAGGGTATCACTTGACTCAATCTCTCAGTGAAAAGAAATTGGGTTGTGTGAAACTGTGGTGAGCAAAAAAAAATAAGTGATGGTTGACACCTCATTTTCTCCAAACTGGCCATAAATTTCGGAGCGAAATTCGCGTCAATTAGCCGTTCAATAAATAATTGCTTCAATTCCGTAATTATATCCCATATCGGATGTATCTCATTTTATCCATATAGAATACTCTGGTTAAAGTACAAGAAAGGACCCAAAAAGTTCCGCCGATCTGAAAACTACCATGATTCCAGGTCACGACGTGAGCTCACGTCATATATACCCGGCCTGGTAAACGTTTACAGTTTGCGACATAGAAAATGCTGATTTACAGTTGATTTTCTCATTGAAAATGGTGATTTTCCATAGTTATGTTAGTTTACCAGAGGGTAACTTACCTCATCATCCATAATTTACCTCATCATAATCATCATCAATACCTATATTGATAAGATATGTTGATATATAGGTATTGATGATCGGGATATAACCATCATTTATATATAATACCTATGTAGGTATATCATCAATATAACTATTATTTCACCTGTCCTTCACATCATAAACCATCATATAACAATTGATAAGATATATTGATGATATAACCATCTTATGGCCATCATATACCCATCATATACTCATCATAACCATCATGAATCCCCATCTTTCACAAATAAGTTTTTGGTAAATTCACCCTCCAGTAAATTAACATAGACCCTGCCAGATAGGGGTTGAAAGACTAGTTTCCGCTATAAATTGGTCAGTTTCAGGGTCTATGTGAATTTACCAGAGGGTACCACCTATACTATCAAATTATTGAGCTACACTAATTATAAGTTTTAGGTTAAAAAAAAAAAAAACACCATATGAAACAGAAAGATTCATAGATGTTCGCATATGATAAGAAATCCAATCTTTCACCATATCATAATACATCCTATATTTCACCATGTGGATAAATTCCCATTTAAAATCATCATTGCCATGGATAAATCTATATTGATGGATAAATCCTATATGGATACCTCTATATATATATATATAAATCCATTTAAATGACATTAAACTACCATATGGATAAATCCTGTATTTCAATGGTAATTTCTACCCTATCTTTCTACCCCATCCTGTATTTCAATGGTAATTACCATGGATAAATCCTAAATTACCATATGGATTGTCCCTTACTTTCTATCTACCCCATCTTTCAGAAAGCCGCGCCTCGGGACTCACTTCCTTCAGCATGCTCTTGGCGTGCTCGTCCAAGCGCGACACGTCCCCTCGGAAAGTCGCCTGGCGGAAATGGCCAGGGGTTTCCCATGGCGCCACCCAGTGATTTTCCAGGGCTTACCCTCTGGTTATTTAACTATGGTTATATAATGGATGTTAATGGTGGATATAACATGATATAACTATAGTTGATATAGTTAGTCATTACCATCTGGTGAAATGACATTCACAGAAATCGCCATGGAAAATCCACGTAAACCTCTATTTCGATTAGGGCCATCTATACCATGGCAAACGGTGAATGTCATAACCAGGCCGGGTTTTTTTCCAATGGATTTCTCCCATCAACCAATCCGATAGGGGAAAGATGGTTGGGGAAATCATCTGGAAAATCTGGCAAAAATGTGGAAAATTCATCTGGAAAATTCTCTGACCAAGGAAAATCATGAGAAATAGTGATTTTCCCATTAGAAAATGGTGATTTTCCCATTGGAAATGTGGAAAATTCGATGGAGAATGGTGGAATCTGGGGAAAACTCACAGAACATGTAAAGAGCTCTTTGGAAACGACACCACCGTGTGAAAACGCGAAAATGTGAGAGAACCAACAAAAATGTGACTACAAAACTACCCTCTGGTAATTTCTTACATAGCTATTGAAAATGGCCCAGTCGAAATAGTGGATTTTCCCATTAAAAATGGTGGATCTTTCCATAGTTTTTGGTATCGGTTACCAGAGGGTAACCAGAATGTGGATATTCCAAAGATATCACAGGATATGATGGAGATTGAGCGCGAAAATTATGGGACAAAAGCAGATCTTATGGTTGAGAAAAATCATATTCCCTATTACCCTCTGGTAAACTAACATAACTATGGAAAATCACCATTTTTAATGGGAAAATCCACTATAAATGGTCATTTTCAATAGCTACGTTAAATTACCAGAGGGTATTATCTCTCATTTTTGGCTGGTTGTTGGTTTCACCCCCGCTGAAAAATATGAGTCAGTTAGGATAATTATTCCCAATATATGGAAAAATAAAAAATGTTCCAAACCACCAACCAGTTGGGCAAACCCATGATGCGAGAAACAAGGAACATGAGCCTTTCCTTGGGAAAAGAATAGACATCCCATGACCAATATGGCTCTTTTTGGAACCAGTGTCAACCCCGGGCAAAGAGAAAAACTCTAACTCTAACTCTTGAACACCACCTACCAATTCATACACTGATCAAGTGCCAACAGAATTCGCAAATTTCCCCGTGAGATCCGCGAATTAGATCCTGCCAGAGAGTCCTTCTGGATAATCATGTGATGATTGCTTGGTGGATAGAAAAATGGGATGTTCATGGGATATCAATGGGAAATATTTTTTTATAGGATACTCTGACTGGTTTTCAAACATAGCAACTGAAAATCCGAAAATCCCATAGAGTCCCATATCTATTAGATGATGTTCCCATTAAAAGCTCCATTGATGGAGGATTTTCCATTGCCTTTGACAAGTCACGAAGCTGAAAAGCTCCTAAGTCACAAGTCAACATGTTACAAAATGTTTCCTGACTTCTCTGCATATCTATCCCATTCATGTCAATTCATGTTCCATGGTCGAAGCATTTGTCTGGGGTTCTAAGCTTAAGAAACTGCGGAGAGAACCCAGAAAAAATCTGGAGATGAGCCCCGAGTCTCCACGAAAAACCACCCAGTCCTCGCTGGAAGGGATGGAGTCATCCGCATCTTTCCACCTCTCCTGATGTGATCTGCAGGGAGTACCGAGAACATCGTTTTGTTGCAAAGGTGGTGGGTTTAATTGTGATAAATGTGATGTAATTCCAAGCATCATGCAGATGTTTTTCATGTGTAGTTTGATACAATAGTTTTTTTTGGATTTGATATACCAGACCTATGCATCAATATATACCATGATATACCTCACACTTGATTGATTTGATATACCTAATAAGTTGGGGGTAATGATATACAATGTGGGGCCCCCCAGTTGTAAGTTGGTTTATAATCCCCATTAACTATAGTTAACTATAGTTATTTTTGTACTATAAACCATAGTTATTGGAGTTATCTGCACCAACTGAACGCTATCTTGGGGGCCCCACATTGTAATTATCATGTGGTTATTGTTTATAGCTATGGGGATCCAGCAAGGGTGGATTGCGTGCCAGGCCTGATTTCAGGAACCTGAAAAGGTGCCAACCCAAACATGGATAAACATGGAAAAAGCCATGGCAAAAATACATGGATACAGGCCAGGTGTGTTACTGAAAATGGATGGGATACTCCCAGTTATGGCCAGTGAACTAATAGGGACAATTTGCTAGATCATTTTCAATGATAATCCATTGGAATTGGGAGTAGCTGAGTAGCCTATTTTCAGACAAACCCATGTCATATATATATATATATATTACAGTAACCAAAAAAACACACCAAAGCCCTGAAAACCAAACTGAAAACCAAGGCTTAGCACCGTATTCTCCCATGGTGATTTCAATCACCATAGCCACCACAAGCCAGAAGGTCTACCCGTCAGACCAGGTTTTACCCCATAGTTATTCACCACATACAGGGGCCCCCTAGTTATGTTTGTTGGTTCAAAAAAAACATCTAAATATATAAGTATGATACACTATTATGGTTATTATATACTATTAATTGTTATTAACCCACTATTGATATTAATAATTATAGTTATTGGCACCAACTCAGCTAACAAACTCAAAACCCCATCCTGTACCAACTGAGATCACTTGCCACAAAGCCCAGAAAACCTGTTGGTTTATGGTTGTGGGTACAAGGCTTGCGAGTCACCAGCGACCTATCCTGGGATACCAGCGTCACATCGCCGTCACAGTTGGAAGATCCCGGCCACGCCCCCGTTTTCGGTGTACTGTCAACTGTCTTTATGAAGACTTCGTTTTTGAGTGATGAATCTCGGCTGGCTGTTGCGGCTATTGATGGGGATCGAACAGTACCTATGTTTGAATTGTTTAGAATCTAAACACCAAAAACTGTAGTTATATCTACCATTAACCAAAGTGAATAATCCCACTTTTTCTAGGCGTTAAGACTACTTTCACCTGAAATCTACTCCACGTTCAGCACGTCAACTGTCCTGGTCCTTCCAGTCCTCCTCCCAGGTCTCGTCCTTATTTGATGGCTAAAAAAAACATAGTTTCCGGTCGATGTTCCTTAAATCAAAGATGTTGTTCATGTGTAGTTTGATATACCTCACAATTGATTTGATATACCTAATAAGTTGGGGGTTGTTAATGATATAATTGTATAATTGTCATGTGGCTATCTGGTTGGTGGTTTCAACCCCTCTGAAAAATATGAAAGTCAGTTAGGATGATGACATTCCCAACATATGGAAAAATGAATTTCATGTTCCAAACCACCAATCAGAAACAAATGTAAGTAAAGCAATGTCATCAACCAGACATATTTTGATAGTTTACACAATCCATTTACTGTTTACTATTGGGGATGGTTTATGTATGTATGTATATATATATATATGCTCACGCCCCTCCGATGATCTACCCAGTACATGTCTCTCCATTGCAAGAAAAGGATACCCAAGATACATGTGAGCCTTACCACAAGTCTATGAGAAACCGATGTATGGTACCAGTGTGTGAATTTACCATGTTCGTTACTTGACCTAGCAATGCAAAAACATATAATACTCACTGAATGTATATCTACACTTGTCATTTCGGATGTTTTTGTCAAGACAACAGAGTGAGAATAATGTCTTGATCAGCCATATTTAATACAAGGTGGTGCCCCCCCAGTTATAAATGTGTTATAAGTTATAATCCCATTAACTAGTTCGATATATCACCTGTAAATCATAGTGAAATTGGACATTATTGGCACCAACTTAGCTAACTATGGGGGGGCACCACCCTGTCTACCCATGACTTCATTCCAGCAGTACATGCCTATATATTGATCTAACAAATAATATATAGCCATATTACACACCCATCATATAGCCATTAAATAGTCCAGCTGTACCTAAATATACCTTCATTATAGCTTCAACATACCCTTGATATACGCAAACGATGAGGAGTGAAGGAGACAATGGGGTCCTGGGAGAGGAGTGTCCACAATAGGGGTGACCACAATAGAAGATGTTGGAGGTAGATCATGGGGGGGTGTGACCAAATAATATAACGATAGAATATATTATAGATATATGTTGGATGTATATGTACTATTGCTGTACTCAAATTACCCTTTGGTACTCAAACGTGGCTAGCTGGTAAATCCCCTTTTTAATGGAGAATTTCATGGGAAAATCCTCTACTGATCAGACAAATTTTCCATTGTCCATCTAATAGCATCCCACTCCCCGACTATACCTGGTTGGTTTATACCCTCTGGTAATTTAACCCTGGTTGGTGGTTTCAACCCTCTGAAAAATAATAGTCAAATGGGACTATTATTCCCAATATATGGAAAAATGCTGAAAAATGGGATATAGCCTTTGGTAAACTAACATAACTATGGAAAATCACCATAGAAATAGTGCAATTTCCCATGAATAGCATGGTGGATCTTTCCATAGTTTTTTGTAAACGTTTACCAGAGAGTATACCCAATTGATCCACCATTTCCAGACACTTCAATTTGACCAGGTGAGGCCCCAATCAAGTATGCCATTCACCATTTGACCTATTGACCTATAGGCGAAAATTGGGGGGGTTCCCCCTTCAGAATCCAGCAACAAGTAGGAAAAGGACATCTATGAACCATATATATCCATATATATATATCCAATTATATCCATATATGCCAAACTTTATACAAGCGCTCATGTGATCGGTTGATACACCCATTATGGCTAGTGCATCCCTTCTCTTCGGTCCGCTGCTACCATGGCGTCTCAGTCCAGGGGGGATCCCAAGGAAAGCAAGGGCCGTGATATCTCCAGTTGATGTTTGGTGCCGAGGTCATCAAAATCACCAAGAAAATGATGGTTTTGATCATACTAATGGTAGGTTAATATGGTTAATATTAATGGTTATTATATGGTTAGTGATGGTTAATAATGGTTAATAATGATTAATGGTAGGTTAATGTGCTTAATATTGATGGTTAGGTTATTATTATATGGTTTTCATGATGGTTAATCATATTCTGGTTGCTGGTGCGACCTTTAACATCCTTTAACCATGAAGAATCATGGACTTCGTCAATGGGGTTGGGATGACATCCCATATATGAAATGGACAATACCCTCTGGTAATTTAACATAGCTATTGAAAATGGCCATTAATAGTGGATTTACCCATTAAAAATGGTGATTTTCCATAGCTATGTTAAATTACCAGAGGGTAATCCATTGATGCTTGAAACCACCAAGCACTTCAGAAAAAGCTCGCCATTCCGGTGGCTTTGAAAGTTCTTCCCCAGCAAGTTCAGCGACAACCAAACACAACATCCATCAACATCCCACAGGATGGTGCCCCCCAGTGATGTTTGTGGGTTTATAAACCCCATGAATACTATAGTTATATCTGCCATAAACCATAGTGAAATGGGACTTATTTGCACCAACTTAGCTAACGAACTGGGGCACCACCTTGCAGCTCCAGCCAGGTTTCTTTCACCTTCCAGTCATCACCCTCCGGCGTATCTGCTTCTTTCTGCCAGTCCACTTCTTCAGAATTCTCCTGGACCAAGGCGCCGGCAAAGCAAATCGGGCGGTTTTTTGGAATTCTGGTAGCCCGACCAAAAAAGAATAATATATAGTACCTTCCCAAAAAAAAACAGAAAAGTAAGTAACCACATGTTTTTCTAATTGGATTTTGCCTTTCTATTTTTTTCGGGGGCGGTGTTATGTATCAAAATTAAACTACCAAAATACCGAAGGTTTACCCAGTTGGAACCAAACAGGAAGTGTGTTGGGCCGATATGGACCCTTCAGCTTGCAGTACAGGCGGCATATGGGTGTGTCTGAACATAGGTTGTAAACCCCCCAATCTATGCACATTTTACTACGGAAAAGGATGATAACCTGTTGGAATTGGGGGTATGGCCTATTTTCAGACAAAGCCAACATGGATGTCTCAACTCAGAATTTTTGTCCGATTTTTCATGGCCAATGGCTGCCACTAGAATCTTTTTGAGATACCCTCTGGTAATTTCTTACAGTTTGCGACATTGAAAATGGCCCAGTCGAAATAGTGAGTTTTCCCATCAATAGCATGGTGATTTTCCATAGTTTTTTGTATGTTTACCAGAGGGTATCTACCAAGGATCCTCTCTGTCTCAAGGTCTTACATATTTTTTCAAGGTATCTCCTGTAGAGACTTGACAGAACTCGGGATGTAGACGTTACCTGACATTTCCAGCGATTCGTTGTTGTTGGACCTTATGTTTTTCTCTACATTCACACGTTCTTTGGTCCCTTCTGGGTTAATTTGGAGGAAAAACACACGAAATTTCGTTGTGGGTCATTTCGTTATCCCATCAACTGTTGCCAAAATGATCTTCATTGAACTGTTTAGAACCCCATTTTGGCAATGAAGAATTTATGGAAACCCCAACTGAAGAATTTATGAACTGTCAATTCTTATCCATTTTGCCCAAAAATTTCGTAATTCGGGACCGCGTTCATTCATATTTTTGGAGTCAAATATTTCCCAAGATATAAGGGTTTCCTGAAATGGGGGTCACCAAAACGGATGGTTTATAATAGAAAATCCCTTAAAAAATGGATGATTTGGGGGTATCCGCATTTCAGGAAACCTCCACATATACCGTTAAATGTTTGGTTTGCCCATTTTGGGTGGTTTAACACAAGTTGGTAAATGTCCCAGTCAAACATCACCCAACGATTTGGGATATAGTGTCCATGAAATACTTGAAAGTGATGTTCACAGTCCCCCAAACAGGACATTTACCAACTCATGTTATTCAACCAGCAAAATTTATGGAGATAACCATCAAGACATGGCGTGTTTATGGCTGGCAGAGCCAGCTTATGTACAGCAATGATTACTAAAAATCCCACCCAACTGTTGGTGGTTCGGAACCCCCATTCCCCAGTCCCACCATGTCCCACCGTATTTTTTTCGGAACATCTTGCTGCACCTCGGCACCATCATCCTCGTTGGCCCAATCATCCGGCCAGTCCTCGTACTTCCTGAGCAGTCAGTGGACTCGGTGGTGAAAATACAATGGAAAATCATGGTTAATAATGGGAAAATATATAATTATGGAAAAGCAACCAACAATCATGGATGAATACTGGATATTTTTTCACACTTTGCGACATTGAAAAATGGCCCAGTCTTTAGAAATAGTTGATTTTCCCATTAAACATAATGATTTTCTATAGTTAATGGGGATTATAAACCAATTTCTAAATGGTGTCAATCATTGGAAATCAATGGCCATTGAAATAGTTGATTTACCGTAATTAACAATATCGTGGTTTTCCAGTTCGCGAACTGTAAACGTTTACCAGAGGGTACTAAGAATAGACAATCTTTGCTACCCCGGGCCTGAAAATGATGACCCATACCCGAAACACTATGGGCTATGGGTAAACAGTTTAACAATACCAAAAGAAAGATATGGATAAAAAAACCTAACAGTATAATATGTATAATATGGATAATACTAACATATTAATACCTAAACATATGGATAATATGGATAAAAAATAATGTTAACAGTAATGATGATATATCATCACCATTACTATTATTATATATACATTGTTACATTATGATATATCATTTTGATAATTATGATTCCCCAACAGCGTAAGCCAATTTTGGAAAAAAAAAAAAAAAAACGTTGCGGCTGTTGGGGATACCACCGAAGCTTATTCTGGAATCATCATCATTGTTACACATTGTTACTGTGGTTACTGGGGAAAAAAAACATCGAAAAACACCAGAGGCGCAACCAGTTTAACGGAGACACCCTTCGGCAGTGACAAATCCCCAGAGGCGGCCTCAAATGGATTCGATGAATGGAAAATGACCAGAAACCATGGATAGTCCCATCAAACTTCAGGGGGTTCCTGGTTCCTGGGCCCTATTTCCTAGTTCTGCAATCTGGGTTTGTCTGAAAATAAACCTAACGAAAACAAACATATCAAAATCCACTGGTTTATCATATGTTCTTCGTTTTGAAATTGCCAATTTGGGGGGTATCTGCGTCATTTTTAGACACACCAATCTGGTTGGTGGTTTCAACCCCTCTGAAAAATATGAAAGTCAGTTGGGATGATGACATTCCCAACTGAATGGAAAGTCATAATCCATTCCATGGTTCCAAAGCACCTATCAGGGATTTTATATATATATACCCTCTGGTAAACGTTTACAGTTTGCGAACTTGAAAATGGCCCAGTCGAAATCGTTGATTTTCCCATTAAACATAATGATTTTCTATAGTTAATGGGGATTATAAACCAATTTCTAAATGGTGTCAATCATTGGAAATCAATGGCCATTGAAATCGTTGATTTTCCCATGTTCCCATTAAAAATGGTGATTTTCCCATGAATAGCATGGCGGATCTTTCCAGTCACCACCAATTTTCGCAATCTTCGGTTGCCATCTTCAGGCGATGGCCGAGCATCGTTTCACCGTCTTTCCAGGTGCCGTCTTTCATCTCTTTCTTCCACCTGAAGCTGCGGAAGCGATGTTTCCAACAGAGGATGTGGGGATTGATCGAAACCTATGATGAAACCAATTTATTCCATAGACCTATTATTCCAACTTATTCCATATTTTGGGGGAATCATGAACTCCATTTACAAACTGTACAAAGGTGTTGTTCATCAGATTACCGCCTTGACTGATACGCGCAAGAATTCCATGAACAACCCTGGGAATGTCAGGTTGGTGAGCTGCCAGTCAGCTTCTGCCGGCAGAACGGCCCCAATTTAATTTGCCGCTGCGGTATCACTGACAATTGTGGTCAGCTAATTGTCAACAGCTGGTTTGAGTTGCCAATTTGGGATTTGTTTTGATCATGATACGGGTTTCCTGGTATTTCCTGTGCTTTTCCGTGGAAGTTGCAGTAAAAAGATGTAAAAAGGGCATCCCCACAATCCATCCGGGTGGTTCATTCTGATCTGGGTAAACGAATAAAACTCATCCCTTCACTCCCCATGTTTACACGGCAAATTTTGAGCCCAAAATGAATGGATCCCATATATTCCATATACCCTCTGGTTATGACATTCACAGTTTGCCATGGTATAGATGGCCCTAATCGAAATAGATGGTTTACCGAACTTAAAAAATGAGGATTTTCCATGGCGAACTGTTAGTCATAAGCAGATGGTATATTTTGGGGAGCCCATTCTATGACTTAAGATTAGGAGAAGGGAAATCTCAACAGCGCCGAGTGTCTTTTTTGCCCTCTGTCTGTGTCGCTCCTTCTTGGACTTCCATTTGGTCCCACATTTCGGGCATTCCTGGCGTATTGTCGAGGGCTGTTCGAAGGTGTGCTGGGAAGAAAAAAAGTTTCATATGGACCCAGTACGCTGAGTTTGAACACATTATAAATATGACAAACATCTCAGTATGTAAATATGTGTTGTAGTGTGTGTGTGTGTATATATGTACACATACACACAGTGTATATATCAATATAAAAATCGAGTGATATACACGTAGATATGCCAGTAGCTGTTGAGCATGGGCAATCCTCCAAAGCACCTATGTTTGCACGCGGATACCTGCAAAAAAGTCCCACGTTGTGTTTGTCTTGGTCACAAAGAATGTCATTTTTTGGCTAATGCTTAAGATATCTCTCCATTTATGCAAAAAAAGTATGAAGTCTATGACTGGTTGGTGGTATACCTACCCCTCTGAAAAATGATGGAGTTCGTCAGTTGGGATGATTTTCCATTCCCAACTGAATGTAAAGTCATAATCCATTCCATGGTTCCAGTCAGCACCAAGCAGATTAAGTATGACCAACTGCCCATCCAATCTTGACGCATGGTGTCTTGATTCCCAACACAGCTGGGATCCAAAGTCGCTTTCCCCACATGTCGAGTTACAGTTCTGTAGTGAAAAACTTCATTTTGAGAGCAACCAAGTTTGGATCCAATTAAATGATATGTACATATATTTTATATACTTTAATTTTCCCGCGAAATTGTTTGCTGGTGATAAGTTGCCGAAAACATCAACAAAATCCTAGAGTTTGTCACTTGAACCCTACCCTCTGGTCATGTTTCCGGGGAATCCATCCATGGCAATGAAAAATGTGAAGGCTATATTCCATCATATATGGTAAGTATGATGGCACTGGGTATATTTGGAAACCGACATATATATTTACCGACCCTTCAATTTCCCCATATAATTGGTATATCTTTTGATTGGGTATATTCCATCATTGCACCAAGATATAGTAATTATAAGATATAGCAATTGTGGTCGGTTAATACCTAGAATGGACATACCCAATTCTGGTTAGTGAAAATTGCACCAAGTATTGCAATTGAATATCCTATCACTATAGAAAATATTAAGAAGTTGGTGCAGCCAACTCATACATTGCTTTTTCTAACCATGGATTACCACATATTTTAGTATATGATGTATACCACATATTTTAGTATATGATGTTTTTACCCTCAATTCAATTAACATAGACCCTGCCAGATAGGGCTTGGAAGATTCATTTCCAGTAAAAATTTGCTATGTTCAGGGTCTATGTGAAAATTTACCAGAGTCAATGGGAATTCCAGGATCCGATTGATTGGAGGTACTGTACCATATTTCTGGCCATATTTTGTGGGGATATTCCCTTACATAGGCCTGAAAAATAGGCCAAAAATATATGGAATCGGTACCTCCAATCAATCCTGATGGCCATTGATCTTTGTTATATTAGTATCTCAATATCTATCAATAGCTATATGATGACATATGGCTATGGCGGCCATGGGATAAAACATGATAAAACCCTGGCTACGGCTGGTAGTATGGTGGCTGGTAGTGGCTATGACTATCAAATTATTGAGGTACACAATTTGACTTGGCCAATGACCCCAAATGGTCAACCATGTTCAAATCGGGCAGCAGGGCAGCAGGTACAATTGTCCTGGTTTTTTTGTGATCTTCAACATCCGGTTCCAGTATCTGTTGAAGATCAAAAAAAAACAACTGGTTGGGCGATATTTAATTAGGACATTTACCTATTGAACATGGCCATAGAAATAGTGGATTTACCCATTAAAAATAGTGTTTTCCATAGCTATGTTAGTTTACCAGAGGATACCAATATTTACCCTCTGGTAAACGTTTACAAAAAGCGAACTGGAAAAGTCACCACTTTTATATATTTGGTAAATCAATGCACTGGGCCATGGCTTCCATAGCTATGTAACAAATTACCAGAGGCCCCTGTATAGACCAACCACAATTCACCGCGCCTCTCGTGTAGCAAAGACCACCATGCCACATTTGGGACCTAGGTCCCACGCGCATGGGAAGTTTTTTCGTGGCATGAAAAAGCGCAGGGAACTCGGGGAAAATGGAGGTGAATGGGATATACGATATACAGTATACCCTTTAGGTAAACTCACGTAGCTATGGAAAATGACCCATAGAAATAGATGATTTACCTATTAACAATGGTGATTTTCCATCGTTTTTTGTATGTTTACTGGAGGGTAACCAACCATCGGGAGTTAAACTTATCCCCGCTGATGATTTCATCCTTTTTTTTCTTGGTAAACAGCATAAACTGCTGGTGATTCCCCCAACATTCATCCATTTATCATCCAAGTTTTTCATGTCAAATCGCTTCCCAGAGATATCATGGCAGGATTCTACCCCATGGCAGGTGAACTCCGAACTGTTGTTGGCGATCGCCGTGTTGGATTCTTATACTCCATAGTTTTTTTGTAAACGTTTACCAGGCCGGGTCATCAGCATTTTCCATATGTTAAATCAATACGAATCACTATTAATAGCCTCTATAAACACCCTTAGTAGCTGATTTCTTTCGATGGAATCTATGGAAATCGATGGATCACTTCGCCTGAAATCTCCATGGAGTTTCCAAAAAGCTGTATGATGGGAAAATGTTCACCGGAAACCCCTATATTTTATGGTAAAAAACCATGGTTTCCGGTGAAGATTTTCCCTAACAAGCCAATCCATTGAGTACTGCTTCGCAATTTTAGTGTGTGACAATGCCACTGGTTTTTTTCGGGTGGTAATGATGTGGGCCTGTGACAACGACAAGTGTCAGATCCAATTTTCTGTTCTGAGTTTTCAACCTCAAGAAATGACTCTAAAAAAATCCCGAATTTCGCACACCTTGGGAAAATATCCACACCTTATCTGGTTGGTGGTTTCAACTCCTCTGAAAAATATGAAAGTCAGTTGGGATTATGCTTCCCAATATATGGGAAAATAAAAATCATGTTCCAAACCAACCAGTTATGATGACTCTCCTCTCGAAGATGAGTGCTTTGACATGGATCATGCACCACTAAATGCAAGTAGCCAAGTTTAATGAAACCAGAACACGGACTGCTTCTTAACCAAAGAGTGATGTCTAGCCGAGTCTAGTCCTCCAAAAGAATTTGGAAATAACAAAAATTCAGTACTTCATCCCTATTTTGATAGTAATTGTAGGTATGTAATCAATAAACTCTCAAATTATCCCTGGTTGCTGGTTTTAACCATCTTGAAAAATATGAGTTCGTCAATGGGAAGGATGACATCCCATTTATGGAAAATAATCCATTCATGTTCCAAACCACCAACCAGATCTTATCAAAATCATCCCCATTAGGGTTTGTCTGAAAATGTCGGGTTAATATTCCCAATGAAATAGCCATTTAAAAACGGGATAATGATCAGCAAAACCATTGGGTAAAAAGGGGTTTAGCCTATTTTCAGACACACCCATTTAGAGGACCTCTCGAATTTACGAGCTGCGGATCTCTGTCTCATCGTGCCAAGGAGCAGTCCCAGTCCCCTTCCCGTCGGTGCACCATGGCGACAATGAGGAAGTCGAATAGAAAAGCGCTGCGGCCACTGTCTACATCTAGGATCATCGAGGAAGATTGGAATCTCGTTTTTCCCCAACCAAAGACCGAATCTAACATGATCTAACATGATCTAAATCAGGAAAATTTAACCCGTTTCGATATGTTTCGATCAGTGATTTTTAGCAAACTCAAATGGAGCATTCGCAAGAAGACATGGGGATAGTCCCAAAATGGCCATTGTTTTGGGGGGCCCAACTGGGGTCCTACGCTGGACATCGAGCCAAGAGGCGGCAAGTTGCTGATGAGTCCCTTCAGGGACACAAAGCTAGGTCATGATGAGCGGTTTAGATCAACCTATATATCATCTGGTTATGACTAACAGTTCGCCATGGAAAATCCACCCATGCTATTAAGTTCGGTACACCATCTATTTCTATGGGCCATCTATACCATGGCTATGTTAGTCATAACCAGAGGGTAGTAACCTACCCTCTGGTAAACTAACATAACCATGGAGAATCACCATTTTTAATGGGCAAATCAACTATAAATGACCATGTTCAATAGCTATTGTAACAAATTACCAGAGGGTAGTTTAATTATTTATGTTCATTTCCCCCTTGAAACTGATATACCTTAGTCTTCACAAACCACCCCAGTAGCCCCAGTATACCGCCAGTAGCCCCTTGCCGCATTTTCAACGGAGAACCATGGAATCCATAGGAGTCGGAGTCTGGACATTTCCACATGCTAGGAAGCTTAAGTGGATTTCAACAGACTGATCTCAAGCTCCTTTTAAAGGCTTCGTCAAAATGTCGGGATTCAGCTTCTTTCCCCACCCAGCTCGTGAAAGTCTGGGATGTTCATCAAGTTTCTCAGAAATAGAGGCGCCTTCACCGAAAAATCTGTGAAAATGTGCGGGGCCCGGTCCCAAAAATCTCCGATGCATTCAACTTCTGGGTGCCACATGAAATCCGCTGGTTTTTCGCCACCGAAAGCATCGCATCGTGTCTGGTTGATCCCATAAAAGGCTACCTGATTCAAAAGCATAAATGGACTATCCATGGAAACCATCTATATTTCTAGAAATATATTGCATCTCCAGGACTACGACCATACCATGCCATGCCATACCATATTTCTAGAAATCGACTGTCTTCCATGGTATGCTTGTAGTCCTCGAGGATATCAGTTTTTGGATTTGTTTGTGATCAAACCCAACAGACTAGAGGGAAGCTCCATTGTAAAACCGCTTCTCCCCATGGTAAGAAGGGTATCACCATCTTGGACCCGAGATACATCTGTATATATCTATATCTATATCTATATCTATATCTACGTATATATATATATATAATAGGTGATAGCTGTATAATATATATATATATACAACATGTATCTATGTCTACGCTCGTCCACTGGCCGCTCAACTGCCCTGCCCTGCCTGGGAGGCCAGCCGTCACTCCGCCGTGGCTCGTCGCCCGGTCCGCGCGTTTTTGGGATGAATTTGGACTTCGACTTGGGTTTTTTTTAGGGATTTAACCATGAAAAATGGAGATTTCCATGGGGATTTTACCATGAAAAATGGTAAATGGTGGTTTCCACTGGGATTCCGATTCCTGGATTTCGAGCTGCTGCTTCTTGTCCTAGCGTTGGCGGTCTGAAAATGGTGCTGCAACCAAAATGGCGTTTTTTTTAATAGGTAAAATGGTGATCAGCAAATTTTGGGGACCCCATTTTTTTAAACAACTCCATTTCTCAACAAGTGTCCAAATCCCCAAAGAAGTTGGCTCAAGCTCTCATTTCTATTTCCTCAATCCTTATGTGTGTCAAAATCCCATGACTGCTGGTGATCATCTGCCCATGATCTAATAGACCCCTTATCATCCTCATGTTTTGCTAAATCCGATACAGTATGCCTTGTTTTGGGGGCGGTCAAATGCCGATTGTTTAAAAAAAAAAAAACTGCATCTAATTGCATCTCCCTAATATGAAAACAATCCCCATTCTATGGTCCCAAATATGTGATTTCATCCCCTATCAAGCCATGGTTTCCTTTGGGGTGATTCAAATGAACAGCGCGATGGGATTTACCAAAAATACAATGATATTCCCAATTATTCCACTGATCTTCCATTATAATCACATTAAGTCACCAATTTTGGTGGTTGAATCACATTACACTCTGGTTATTTCACAGTTCGCCATGGTATAGATGGCCCTAATCGAAATAGATGGTTTGCCGAACTTAATAGCATGGGTGGATTTTCCATGGCGAACTGTGAATGTCATAACCAGATGGTAACATAACTATATCAACTATAGTTGTATCCACCATTAACATTCATTAACCATAGTTAATAACCATTCATTAAATAACCAGATGGAAAATCACCATGGTTCGCAGCTAAATCCCCATGAAAAAAGTCGTTTGATGCTAAAATCCCATTGGAAATCAGCCATTTTTTGATGGATCCCCGGCTGTGGGCATTGACTGAGCCGCTCTTTTTCCTGTCCATCCAGCGATGGGAAATGTCGGAAAAAGATTAAAGATGAGAAAGATATAAGGATACATATACATATTATATATATACTAAATATCGTGCATATATATATATACACATATAATATATATATATATGTATATATATGTGTGTAATAATATATAATATATATATAATATATATAATGATATATATATAATATATAATAATAATATATAATATATATATATATATAATGATATATATATATATACGTATAATATATAATAGATATAATAAATATAATGAATATATATATATATACATAATATATATATACATAATATATAATATATAATATATATAATATATAATATATAACATATAATATATAATATATAATATATTATATATTATATATTATATATTATATATTATATATTATATATATTATATTTTATATTATATATAATATGTTATATATAATATATAAAATATAATATATAATAGATAATAGATAATATATAATGTCTGATATATTATATATAGTATATCATATCATATATAATATCATATATATATATATACATATATGTATATATACATGGGGTATGGCCCATTTATAGATGGGACATCATAACCAGGTGGCAAACATCCAGGCCAAGTCTGGGACACCCGGATGAGAAAATGATAAAGAGCCATGGTCATTGAAATAGTGGATTTTCCCATTAAAAATGGTGGATCTTTCCATAGTTCGTCCGATTTCAATAGGGATATTCAATTGAAGTCTATTACTGGTTGGTGGTTTCAACCCCTCTGAAAAATGATGGAGTGAAAGTCAGTTGGGATGATTCTTCCAAATATATGGAAAAATTATAAAAATGGTCCAAACCACCAACCAGAAACTATTTTGAGGAAATTAAACAAAATGATGGAAGTCCAGTGGACAACCTTGGATATCAGCCCAGCCCTGCCTGCCATGCTTTGGGCACAGGCCTAGAGGGCTCACAGGACACCAAGTTCTATGGGATGTTCACCGAGGAAGTGGAGCTGAAATGACAGAAATGACACCAGGGGAGCATCAAACACAACAAAAATGCTGTGTCACGAGATGTCAAAATGTGTCAAGATGTGTCAAAATGTCAAAATGTGCTTGAGACCAAAAGGGTATGCTTCAGAAATGAGTGGTAGAAACATGCAAAATCAGGTAACACTGGCTTGGACCATTGAATGACATGTTTGTTGTTGGTTGATTCCTCAATCTTGCTGGTTTGACCCCTACTACAATGATGGGCTCGGGCTCTCAGGTATACCCATTGATATTCCCATATAGCTGGGGATCCAGCTTCCATTTCAAGAGGGTTGACCAGGGTTGCAAAATCCAGTGATGAATCTGTTCGCAGGCCCATTTGTTCATACTAAATCCCACGTTCCTTTTGGATGGATAGATAAATAGATAGATAGATACACAGACAGACAGATAGATAGATAGACAAACAGATAGATAGATAGATAGATAGACAAACAGATAGATAGTTGGGTGGGTAGGTAGGTAGGTACGTAGTTAGGTAGGTATGTGGATAGACGGATAGATGGATAGATGCATAGATGCATAGATGCATAGATGGATAGATTGATAGATGGATAGATAGATCTAGATAGACAGAGATATATAGATAGATACAGATAGATATGGATAGATATGGATAGATATAGGTAGATGTAGTCATATAGATAGATATAGGTAGACATAGGTAGACATAGGTTGATATAGGTAGATATAGGTAGATATAGGTAGATATAGGTAGATATAGGTAAAGAGATATAGGTAGATATAGATGGATATAGAATAGCAATCCCTCAATTAAAAAAAATAGAAAATTATAATCTTACCCAATACTGGTAAATCTAAGTTGTTCTGTTTTTGGGGAATGGTGCTAAAATTTGCCCAAGATTTGACAGTACCTACTAAAATATACCCAAAAAATTCGAATATTCCTATGGAACTCTATTAAATCCGCCTATTTCGCGCCAAAAAAAATAAGTAACCATCTCTCATTCCCTACTTAGTTTAACATTTTTGACACTGAACTAGTTAACCAACAAATCTGCTTATTCTCCTAATATGTCTAGTTAATGTATGTTTTGCTACTTAACTCCCCATATTCCTCGGTCAAATTCCCATTTTAGTCCCATGACTTTCGCCCCCAACTGAGCTTTTCACGCTGGGGACATGCTGCAGGACGCGAGCCTAAAAAGGTCGGAAACTCGATGTGACCATCGAAAAATCGCGCAAGTTTAAAGATGAAAACCATCGAAAAATATGGATTTTATACAATATGGATCTTATAACTATAGTATTCATGGGGTTTATAAACTTTATAAACCAACTTACAACTGGGGGGCCCCACATTGTATGATTTTATATGATTTTAAGTATCAGATCTTGTGTTCAGCACTCCTTCCACTCTTTTCATCGCCAAGTCGCAGGCTTTGCAAAGAGACTACTTATGTCTCACCACTTAAGTCACTTGTTGTGACCCTTTCCTTCTTGTTGATTTAATCAATGCTTCATGGTAGAAGCCAAGAAAGAGACACCTCCTGGAAGAGGTTATTCAAAAGTGAAAACCGGTATCCCCATGGTAGGGGTTTCTTTTCAAAGTATCCATCCAAGCCATGCTCGGTAAACGGAACCAGCATTTTAAGGCTATTCCCCTGGGGGGGCGATGGAGGACCTTAGGTTTGAACCTAAAACCGCATTGATCGATGAACGTTTCAGGGGCATCACACAAAATGTTCAAGGAACTTTCTTGTGTTCAGCACTCCTTCCACTCTTTTCATCGCCAAGTCGCAGGCTTTGCAAAGAGACTACTTATGTCTCACCACTTAAGTCACTTGTTGTGACCCTTTCCTTCTTGTTGATTTAATCAATGCTTCATGGTAGAAGCCAAGAAAGAGACACCTCCTGGAAGAGGTTATTCAAAAGTGAAAACCGGTATCCCCATGGTAGGGGTTTCTTTTCAAAGTATCCATCCAAGCCATGCTCGGTAAACGGAACCAGCATTTTAAGGCTATTCCACGCTTCCAAACTGAGTGTCCACGTGCACGATCAAGTGCATGTAGCAAAAGAAAAAGTCTTCATGAAAAGTTTTGTATGTAGGGTGATTTTAATTGAAGGAAGGTAACTCAAACCATCACTAATATAAATTCGGGCCACCTTAGATGAACCCCAGCGACCACGAATCAAGGCAGCTTCCATGCTGCCAGTTTGTTGAAACATAGCTGTTGCGCCTCCACGGCGTAAGCTATATGGTCTGAACCCATGGGCTTGGAGGCACATAAGTTCCAGCAAAAACTTGAAACGTGCTCGAAAAACTGCTGCTGTGCCTGTCCAGAGTGTCAAAGCAGTGGTATTTGTGGCCTTACGCACCGAAATAAGTGCACGGAGGGTTTCCAGCACTAAAACATCTGTGATACTGATGGCCTCATCCACATTGTGACGTAGCCCTGACTTAGTCCCTTTAAGGGAACAGATCCCTGCCTCTTCACCAAGTACTATGTCATCAGCAGACAATGTCAAAAGTTCCCCTGTGCGAAGTAAACAGTGAAAAGACAGAAGTAAAAGTACTGACATCTCAAAGTGCTCATGCTGCCATTCATAGGCAGCCAAACTTTGAACTATGCTCCAAGTGAGCGGGGGAGCTCGAGCCGGAACCTCTATTTTGCGCCATGTTGAAAAGAGGCGCCACGAGTGAGGTATCTTTCTACGGGTCCATGGCTGGTAAAAGTGAAGAGCGCTAAGCCCATCACCCACTATCAGTAAAGGTTCACCATTTGACCACATTCTTCTGATCCATTTGCAAGTCAAACTGTCTAACTCATCTTCATTGCATGCCTTTTCAACATACGGAATCAGTTTCTTTAATGCATGGTAGTATCTCTGCTGAGTCTTTTCTGTAAGCGCCGCATCATCCAGCTGAATACGAGCGCGCTGCCGGCGCCGCTCTGCGCGGGAAAAACGCCCGGCGAGCAAACGGGGCTTAGCGCCGTGACCCTTCATCTGAAGGATTTTCTGAGGAGTCAATATGCCCCAAAATCAGTTGTAACCCATGTGCAAGCAAGTGTGCCGCAAGAACGCGCAAAACACGGCTGAGTTGTTTGCTTCCTGATCTACCCTTGCTTGCAACACTAAGGCTGACATAAGAGTCAGAAAGTTGAAATATTCGTTTGTCTGTTGCACCGAACCTAGTGATCTGATATTTAACCCCCAATAAAACGGTTTCAAGTTCCAGGACGTTGATGTGACTACGTTGTTTCCATTTAACAGAAAATCCATGTTTCCAGGACCACCAAGAGGCTGAAACCGATTGCCGCGGAAAGCACTTGTTGTTGAGAATTTCTCCAGACACAACTCGAATATCCGAACCAGTGTGATTTGTCCGTCTTAAAAGTAGCCTATTCATCATCTCCATCCCCAAATTGAAATAGTTCGGATCCCCTTCTGTTGTACCATAACACAACGACCTACAAAGTGGGGCAGTACTTCTGATGTGTCCTCGAAACCCTGGTGCCATGCCCATGCGCAATACCAATCGTTGATAGCTGATAACAGGCAAGAACTTCTGTGCACAAATAACAGCCATGATTACAAAGGAATAAATGCTGAATGCATCCCCTAAAAGCTTGTGGCGAATGTCAGAAAATGCAACCGGATTTTGTTTAACCTTCGAGGCACTCCAGGCTACCTTAGTGTGATTGTATCCATATCCCAGAAGAAGCTCTTTTTCAGTGGCATTAAGCAAACGCCAAGTTGAACTGCTAGTGATCAGGAATTTTCGAGCATATTGATAGGGCGGATATCTGTAACTGTCCTGGCGCCACCTATCTTTCGTGGCAGCATCTGCTTTTTCTAAACCTGCCGGCCGTGGCGGTGGCTGCTGTCGAGGTATCGACTTCAAACAGGTTGGAAAAACTGCTCCCTCTGACTCACCATCCCACTGATATCCTTCAGTAATCCATTGTTCTGTCAAAGGGTAAGAGGCCTTTGCTGTGATTTCCCTCCAGTATCGCTTATTGCAAATTTCCACATCAGGAAAATAACCTTCCACTGTTTCAGATGTCCATGCAAATCGCGGACGCCGCATAGGTACAGCATCTACACAGTCCAAACGATAGGGTGTAACCCCAACAGCATTTGAAATTTCCCGTGCAGCACTTTCATCCATGGATGCAACGTTTTCCAGTACATATTTCACCAAGACGCTAGGCCCAAACTCTTCCTCAAATAAAGCTTTGATTCGAGGTATCTCCCAAAATAGACTGCTGTGGGGCCCTGCCAAATTCTGCCGATTGAATTTAACTGCTGAAAGGTCTACACAAGGCCAGCCACCCCAAATATGTACTTCCAACACTTGTAAAAATTTGCGACTCCACTCTTGTACTTGTGATCGTGTGATACTTCGAACATCTTTGACTACAATCACACCAGGCCACCGATGACTTGTGACTCGGTTGGCCGCATCATCCACATCCACAGCAATCCGGGCCAGAGGGCATACACCAGCTATATCATAGGCACGAAACGCACCTCCGATTCCATTGAATAAGCTTACCAGTAAAATCGGAGCTGGACCTTCATTCTTGGACAATTCATTCTTCTCTACTGCCTGAAGAAAATCACGTCCTTCAGTTGTGAGCTCCTGTGAATATTCCACCGAACCACCTTTTTCTGAAGCGTCAGTGCAGACCATCCTTGGTGAAATAGCTGCCTTCAGGTAGCAGTGCAAAACCGGTGACAACAGTATCAGGGACAAAAATTCACTCTTCACCTCAGCACGCATGTCAGTGCCCATACGAAGGTTGCCCCCAACAAAACGCCATGTACGATCCAATACACTCATGGCTGGACGCCGAAATTGAAGTGCAAAAACCCATCTGCCAGCCATCACTTGGACCGTTTTTCTATTCAAGAACTTTGATGTGATCATCCATAGAGTCCCATGTATAATGTTCAGCATCTTCTCAGTGGAAATCCCTAATGTTCCTCGCTCACCATCAACTTCGGCCCCCAGCTCAGTGATTCTGGAGGCCCCTTCAATGCGCTTTTTGTCAGATGATGCTACACCTGCTTCTTTCCATGCCTTTTCAGCTGCCTCATGGCAGGCTCGTGCACTATCCCCTGCTGCCTGAGGCAAAATGCGCTCTCCTGAAGCATAATTGTCCAGGTATACATGCCACCAAGCCTTGTCTTGTTGTTTTGCGTGATCCAGCACAATATTCAACCATGGCGGAATGACATGCCCCCGCGCAATGCGATGATCTAAACAAAGAGAAGAAGATGAAAGTAGCCGTTCTGAAATCTCTTGCATGATCCCGACACTGTTAAGCCATCCCATTGGTATGACGTTGCATGACAAACAATATTCCACATTGGCCAAACCACCACAAACAGATCCGTCTACAACAACATTGAAAGCAAGATGAGGTTGCCACGAAGCCGGAATTTTGAAAAGATAAAATGCACTGCACATATCTGATTGGTGAAGTGAGAGTGACTCTTCCCCATCCAGAAACAGACTCTGCCAGGATGTTATACTCGGTAAAGTGTTGCAACCCCCTTCCAATTGCAATTGTGTTTCGTTGGATCCCGTTAGGTTCATTATTAAACGTAGCACTGGGCGTCCATCACTCAAGCACTGAGATTTGCGAACTCCAAAAAGTCCATTCAAAATACGCACCCCTCCAACAGAATAAACTTTATCCAAAGGGATCCAAGAACAAACATGTCGTTTAACCAGCTCGTTTGCAATGGGCATCAAGTCCTCCCTTTTGACATGCACTTTCCCCGGCATTTTAGGCAATGAAACATCTTTGGGGTCCTTTAACAACCAATCTGGATTCAGAAGAAACTCTTTGGTACGATTACCAACCCAATCAAGGCAATTGATACATCCCCCATGATCTTCAGGTGGAAGTGCGGGAAGGACCTGTTCAAGGGTCAGTTCATGACAAATAGAAATTTCCTCGCCACTATACCCCACCAATTTGCTGGCAACATCTTTTTGCCACAAGTCCTCACGAGGCGCTAGGTGAGGTACGTCTGAGGAACAGCGCCGTTTGGCTGCCGCTTCCAGAGAATTGACAGCCAACCGCTCTGCTTTGCTCCATGGCCCCTGAGGTGGTCGGGCCTGAAATCCAGCCAAACGGTTCAGTGCCCACATAGAGACATAGGCCCAAGCCACATGCCCCCATGTACCAACTAGGGACTCAACGACCGTCTCGGTCAGAGCACAACTAGTCAGGACTTCCTCCAAAGCACTCAGCCCCCCCACACGAAGTGGAAAAGTCGCGCCACGTGCACGCTTACCGCACGACTTGGACTTGGCGATAGTTTGACTCCAAGTTCCTACAAATTCCTGCACGATGCAATCATCCAGCAGCCAGTCCTGAGATGCCACCAGCAGCCAAGCTAGCACAAAACCTGTACGGGCATATGTTGTGCAAAGTTTCACTGCCTCCTTCAAACACGCGGCATCCCAGGACACTGTAACAGCTGCCTGGTTGTCAAAGGCTGCAACGGCTTCCGCCAGCGCCGCAACACTTCCTTCCGTCTTCCTCATTTTTCGGGCACCCTCTCCTTGGTCTTTCCATCCAACTCCTTCTCCTGGGGTGTCCATCCCTTTCCTTTTCCTTTGCCCTTCACTCCTTTCTTGCCTTTGCCTTTGGTGTCGACGGAGTTCTCGTGCCATGAACCTCCACGTCCTCGGCCTCCTCGACTCTTGCCCCCTGCTCCCCAGCCCCAGGAGTCTTGGTTTCCTGGGGTGAGCTTCAAGGCCAACTTGGCATGGCGCTTGGCCTCGAGAATCACCTCTGGGCCCGCTGCCGTGTTGTCTTCGAGGGGCAACAGCTCTAAGTGCCTTGCCGTGGACCAACCCCCGTCGAGCACCGACTGGTGCACGCTGAGGAACCTCCCTGCAAGGACGTCCCCTAGCAGGTCGAGATCTCCTTGTCGAAGCAAGTCTATGGACTGCGACAAGTGGTGAAGTTCTCGAGCTTGAGGCATCGCTGATCCCAATTGGGGCCGCACAATGATGGAAAAATAACTTCCCATCTTGACTCCCTTGGTCACACTGATCGTGTCGCTGCTCCCAATTGCCACCTTGGAGGATTGATCCAATTGGCTCCTTGCATGCTCGATGAGGAGCTGTAGCACTGACCCCGGCTTTTCTCGGGACTTCCGCTTCAAAGGTGCTAGCATCCTCTTCCCTTGGCTGCTGCTCGACTCCGACTCCAAAGCAGCGTCTGAGTCTCCTTCCCAGCTCGAGGTCTGATAGCTCGACCCCCCGGATCCTGGATCGTCCGAGGGTCCATGCCTCCGTTTCTTCTTCTTCTTCGAGTCTTTCTTGTCTTTCTTCTTGGACTTCTTGGCGTCTTCCGGATCTGAGGAGTCGCCATCCCTCTTCTTCTTCTTCTTCTGGCGTCCAACTCCCATCTGTGTAAGGATCTTGGCAAGCTGCCACTGGGGATTCTTCTTGTGCTGACGCTTCTTTTCCTGTTGTAACTTCTCCTCCTTCTCTCGAGCGTTCTCTCTCGCTTTGAGGGCAAGTTGGTTCTGCAAATTGCGCGTAATAGAACCTTTTGTATCCTCCTTCTTCTGTCGTTTCCCCCTCTCCTCTGAATGAGAGGGGTCCCCATCGTGGCGAGCTTCGCGCCTTTTCCTCCTCGACTTCTTCTTCTCCTTGTGAGGAGGTTTGCTGCCGCTCGGACCGATGTCCAGCGCATCCTCCAGAGCCAGCTCCTCTCGCCGCGGTTCTCCCACTCTGAGTTCTGAGGGAGAATATCCTGGACTGGGCGACTCTTCTCCAGGCTTCTCCTCCTCTCTGCAACCTGGAGCATCTGACGTCACCGTAGCTTTCTTGTGGGCGTTCAACATTTTTGCACGGGTAGCCTCTAGGCGTTCCCTCAGCCGCTGTCTTTCGTCCTCCTTCATTTTTGTAACTTTCGCCTTTGGCTCTGCCGCCTTGCGAGGGTCCGCGGGACGAGACTTCTCCTTCTTCTGATGGTCGTCCTCCTCCTCTCCCGGAGACACCTCTAAATGCACTTCTCCTTCTGCTCCATCGGGCGGCTCGGCCTCCATTGGAATGCCAGCGCCAGACACAGTCACTGCTCCTTCTACATCGATGGGCTCGTCCTCCTCCCATTTTTGCACCTGTCGCTTGATGTAGCTGCTCAGATAAGGACGTTCGAAAGCCCCCATGCTGTAGACCTTGAGCCTGGTTACATGCATAGTGTAGTCCTTTGTAGCTGCGCAAGGTCGACTGCTGCAGAAATGTATTGTTCCAACTTTGCGATTGAACTGGTTGGAGAAGTACTTTGTCCAGTCTTGGTCGCTGCATCCCAAGCATTTGACAATTGCCACGTAATCGCCATCCTTTTCGATAACGACTTGTTTGACCCAGAAACCGGCCCAAATATTTGGGGGATGATCTGGAAGATCTGTCGAAGGTAAATGGATCTCCAGGACTTCGCCACGATCTAAACCCAAAGAATTCCATTCTGCTGAATTTTTGATGTCAAACTCTGTGCCTTCCTCCAATCTCATCTCAACGTCTCCCTCTGCTCGGCTCAGGGCCAGCGAAGGATCTCGATCCACTCCAGAAAGACTGAGGTGGTTTACGATGTACGGGGGTTTCGGGATTGCTCAAGGTTCGATACAAGCGGGGATGTTTGCTCCCTCCTCTTGAACCTCTGTGCTTCTTTTTGCTCGAATGCTCTCCTCTGCGAGAACGATCTCTAGAACGCTCTCTGTGCCTGTCTACCTCTCTGTCGCTGACGCGCCTCCTCTCTAAAGGCGGTGGTCCCTCTGGCTCACGTGGTTGCCTAGTGGGATCTGACTTCGCAGCTGCACCCTCAATCTTCTTGTCTTCGCACTCGTCCTCCTCTTCTGCGGACTCACTTTCACCACTCTCCTCTTCCTGCTCCTTCACTGCAGGAGGTGGTGGCGGTGGAGTCGGCGCACGCGGGCGCTCTCTGGGAGGGGAGCGCGCCGCACGGGACTCAGAAACTGCTGCCGACTGGCCAGAACGAGCTCGGGCTGCTCGAGACTGTTCAGCGCTTGCACAGCTGGCCGAAAGATGTCTCAGCGCCCTCACTCCACGCACGCAAGAAACCACAAGGTCGTTTGCAGCGGTTCTGAAGCCAGGTGTCTGCCACGCAGCGGCCAGTTCCCCAGTCAAAGTTTCCAGTCCCGTGCAACCCAGACACCAAGTGTCTCCAGTGTTAGGTTCACACTTACGACACTTGGCACAAAGCATTAACCCTTAGGTTTGAACCTAAAACCGCATTGATCGATGAACGTTTCAGGGGCATCACACAAAATGTTCAAGGAACTTTCTTGTAGAAACCATCCAAAAATCCGGGACATTGCCATCAAGACTGATTCTGAAAACCATAACCGGAAATTTGACCGTCAAAGATTGCCTGAGAAAATTGGGAACCAGACAATTGTTGATTGTTGGGATAGTCTATTGCATATACAAACAATATGGGGATTATATTGGAGCTAATGGGAGTCTGGGATCAACTTCAAAACACAGCTAAAGTTGCTAGTACCCGGCCTGGTAAACATGCCAAAAACTGTGGAAAATCACCATTTTTCATGGGTAAATCATCTGTTTCTATGGGTCATGTTCCATAGCAAACTATCATAAATCAGCTATAAATCCCATTAAACCCACATTTTCCTATGGTTTTCCTATATTGACATAGCCATTTTGGGTAACAAAAGTTGCTGGACCGCGAATTTCTGAGGACTAAAACCATCAACTCCCGGTGTGAAAACTGTGAAAAAGGGCACAGGTGAGCCATCGCTGGTATCAACTGGGTTGCTAACCATGGGATTTTGAACCCCAGTGATATGGGGCAGATTAACTATGGTTATATATATATAATTATATATGGATACTATTAATCTCTAATCATGAACATATTCTACCTGGAACTGCTGACTGCACCCTGTTCAGTATGATCAACGATTGGATGACGAAAAAATCGCGATTCAGCGAGTTTTTCAGCCCTTACCTCGATGATCACGGTCGTCGAGGGATCCCTCGACAATCTTCAGGGAGCAGTGCTGGCAGTGAAGTGAAATGAGCAGTGGGCCATCATTACCCGGCCTGGTAAACGTTTACAGTTTGCGACATTGAAAATGGTGATTGAAATAGTGGATTTTCCCAATAGCATGGTGGATCTTTCCATCGCTTTTTGTATGTCCGATTTCAGTGGGGATGTTCCATTGAAGTCTATTAATGCTTGGTGGTTAGTTTCAACCCTCTGAAAAATATGAAAGTCAAATGGGATTATTATTCCCAATATATGGAAAAATGATGAAAAATGGTGATTTACGAAATTTCTGGTTGGTGGTTTTAACCAGAGGGTAATAACCATGGCTAGTAAGTCCCGATGAATCGTGGATTTTCCCATCTATAAATGATTCTACTGGTTGGTGGTGCAATAACCATTTTGAAAAATATGAGTCAATGGGAAGGATTATCCCATATATGAATATATGAAATGGAAAATAAAATTGATGTTTGAAACCACCAACCAGATTATTTCAATGAACATCTGCAAATCAAATTTCAAATGGAATCATTAAGCATGGGGACATCACAAATCGAAATCTTGATTTCGCCAAGAAGAGCAATGGAAGCCCTAAACAAGAAATGGGAATTCCAATGAGAATCCAGGTGCCAATATTGGAATAGGGGACTCCCGTTAAAAACGCATCCTGTGATAAAATGTCATCCCCGGATCAAGATAAACCCTGGTTGATTCAGAATCAATGGGTACCCATAAAAAGACAACGAGTTGCTGCCAAAATGGCACCCCCAATGGTCAACAGCATATGGGGGTTCTACTTGGATGTGCATCCAAGTTACATCCGGTCGGTAATAACTTCATAACCATATAAAACGACCCAGTTACATATTGGTGACCCCAATTATACATATATATATATATATGATATATGTACATATATATATATATACGCTACAAGTAGTTCCGGCCTATTACAAATAGTTCCAGGGCTAAAAGGGTCCAAAACAGAATTTAGTGGATAAACAGGCCAAGCGGACTGCTAATATATACATACCAAAAGAAATGAGTCATTAGCCACTTGCTAGCTGTGGACGAAAATCTCCATACTGTTCCCATCATATGCACTATTTCTGGAACCAGCGAAAATTCCCATGACTCTTCGTATATTCCCATAATATATGGATTTGTCTGAAAATAGGATACTCCAAAATACATCGAAATTCATCGAAGTTCATCAATCATCCCATCCCCCCGAAAAAACAAAATTTCTGTGAACCAAATCTGGTTGGTGGTTGAGCCCTACCCCTATGCAAAATATTACTGTAGTCAGCCGGGATGATGACATTCCCAATATATGGAAAATAAAATTCATGTTCCAAACCACCAACCACTATAAATATCCCATAGGTAACGTTGATTTTCCCATTAAACATGGTAATTTTCCATCGTAAACCCAATAATCAACCAAATAATCAACCATCCCCAAAATCACCATAGTTTTTGTGAAATTTCAACCATGCCCACATGGTCTTCATTATTGGGCAACCCTAACCTGGGGGATTTTGCACCGAAAAAATGGCACAGCTCCGGTGCTGCAACGAATCTCCAAGGCGCTCCAGTTGGCTGCAACGGGCGCCCATGGCGGAAGTTCTGTCGTTTTCTTTTGGGAACGCCTTCGAAGTACATGTGTCCTTTGGTTAATCCCATCTATCATAGTGATACAATGTCAACCCCTCAAGATAACTCCAATGTCCTTTTGGTAAAAATAGAGGGGCCGGGAGCTGGTATACCATCTATCATCATTCAAACCTGTTGTTCAAGGGCTTTCTGAAGAAACCCCTCTATGAAAATCAACCAACCAATGGGAAAAGGACATTCGGGAACGCCTTCGAAGTACATGTGTGGGCTCGGCTATTGGACTAGACAGTCCGGTGTCGTTGGGATTCTGACAAATCATCTGAGAATCATCCATGATATTGTGGGAATATAGAAACAGTCATGGGAATTCCGCTGGTTGTAGAAACTGGTAAACTAACATAACTATGGAAAATCACCATGTTCAATGGGAAAATCCACTATTTCTATGGCCATGTTCAATAGCTATGTTAGTTTACCAGAGGGGTAGAAATTGGGATGTTGAAGCAAAAATTGACCACAAATGACAAAAGGATCAACAAGCCCGACTATGATGTTCCATCGAAACTCTCGAATCAGAAGCCCAATTTTCACCTCTCAAAGCTGTCTATTTCAAAGAAGCCGTCCATTTCAAGGAGGAAGCTATCATTTCTTACAGTTTCACAATTTCAGTGCATTTTGATCACCACGTGTAGCATATCTCAAATGGCTGGAGTTTGCTTTCTCGACCTTGAAAAAATGTCATGTTTGCAATGAAATGGCAATTTCTGGGCGGTTGCGGAGTGGGCCTATAAGTGATGTGAAAACAAACAAAGAGACTACCCATCTTTATAGCCAACTCAGGAAACACCTAAGTCCAACCGATCAAAGATGCAGCTTAAAAATGCACCACGTTCACGGTGTTCACGATCACCAAAATCACCAAAATCGTGCGCAATGCCAACAGTGCAGTTCCAGGTGTAAGCGAATATACAACCATAGTTTGTTCAATGGGGAAACAAACCACCAGTTGCAACAGAGTCATCCATCTCATCCAGTCATCCATCTCCGGGCACCATCGATCCATTTCAACATTGCCGCCAGGGTGTCATTTTAATTTTGGGTTATGGTTTTGGTCATATCTATAATATATTTTGGGTTATGATTATAATCATTATATAAGTGTAATAACTATAATATAGGTTAGATATGGTTAGATTAATAGCGGAATTCATGAACGCAAATATTTGGTGTTCCAGCAGCCGGCTGCAGATTCTCTCGACTTCCACGGATACAGAAAGAGAAATGGAGGTTTCAAGTGTCAAATTACCCTCTGGTAAACATACAAAAAACGATGGAAAATCACCATATTTAATGAGTAGATCCACTATAAATCAAAAACTGTTAGTTTACCAGAGGGTACCCAAAATTGGAGCCGTTCTCCAAAATCATGTTTAAAAAGGAAAGATTTGAGACGCCCTTGCCCCGCTAGTCAGCACAAATCAGCCCAAAATCCCATCCGAAAATCATTCTCATCATCATTTTCCCCGTGAGAAAATATACGTTTTGAGGTGATACTGTGGATGGGCCAGCGAAATCCTGCACCACCACATTGGATGGTTGAAACCCCAACAAAATCATTGGATAAACCATCTATCAACTGGTGCAGGATTTCGCAACCACCATCCACAGTATCAAGCCCAGATTTAGCCAACCCCCGGCTCTGGGGCGGGAATGGCACCCGCTGGCCATCGCAGGCAACGCAGAGCACGGGAGCCTCGTGGCCTTCCAGTGTCAGCTCCTGCAATGGGAAATCCCTGTAGCCGAACGAAAAATGGAGGTTTGGTTCCCTGGGAAATCATCGAAGCCCTGAAAAATAGGCCTTATATATGGTAGGTACCTCCAATCAATCGGTTCCAGAGATGGCCATTGACCTAGATCTACATAGAATATAGATAGAGTTATGGCTACAGTATCATCTATAGAATTTCCTTTGCCGGCTTTTTGATTACCAGCGTTCCCTGTCTTCAGCAATGGTTGCGATAAATCCAGGAGAACACATGAGAAATCTTGGATCCCTGAAAAAAAAAATCGCTGCTGCTCTTCCCCCCTTTACCCGGGTCTTAAAACTCTCATATATCTGGGGGAGTGAACATCCAGCTATACCAGATAGATTTATTGGGAGTTTTAAACTTCTACGGGATCAATATCTGACGGGCCATTCACAACGAGGTTTTCACCAGGGGCAAAACCATGCCTGAACTGACCGATTGTCACTGAGCTTCCCCGCACACAGCCCAGACTTGGCATTCCACACCTGTTCAATCGGTGCCAGTGGTGCCGGAGGATTGCTTTTTCAGTGAGCAGAATTGCAGAATTTACGCAACCAACATGATGGTTTAACAAACAAATAGTTATCTGGTTTTAAAATATATGTTATATAATTTTGCAAAAAAATGGTGGTCAAACCAGCCAGTCGAAAATGTATAAATTGTCAGTGAAAAGACCCCCAAGTGCTGGTCACATCATCTTGGGCATGTTGAGGGCACAAAAAAATTCAGGGTGCCAGTGTAAAAGGACCCATTGCCATATTGGTAGTGGTGATTTTTTTGGAGTCAATGAATAAATGGTAGATACCCAAATAGTCCTTCCGGATATGGCGACAAAATTCTGTGCAATGCCACTTGTCGTAGCATCCAGCTTTAGGGGGTCAATAGTCGCATGTGGTATTTTGCTTTATAATGTGTTGTATATACCCCCATGGCCATGGCAAAATCCAGCCAAGGTTTCACCTCTTCCCCCGTCCAGCTCCTTGTCTCACCTTGACGCCTTGTGTCCAAAACTCTCCAGCTCTAATCGAGAGCGATGGACATCGGAGACATGTCGGAGAAAAAGCTATATAAAGGACAGCATAGTTCGACATACCCTCTGATAATTTCTTACAGTTTGCGACATAGAAGCCATGGCCCAGTCGAAATAGTTGATGACTACCCAGTGTAGCTATGGTGGATCTTTCCATCGTTTTTTGTTAACGTTTACCAGAGGGTAAGCTGTTGACCCATATCCATATGGTCCATCTCCCATTGGTATCACCCCGTTGTATCCTCTGATGCTCGCCCAGAATTCTCGCCTTGGCCGTGCAGTCGTGCGATCCGGTGAGCACCTGGCTGCTTGCCAAAGATGGGGGATGTCATGGCGATATGATTGATACAGTAAATTAACATGACGACCTTTCCAGATAGGATTTGGAAGATTAGTTTCCACTAAAAATTGGTGCTTTTCAGGGTCTATGTTAATTTACCTGAGAGTAAATCATAGATGGGATATATAACTCTATTGATATATGATTGATACAATAGTGGGATATAAAATATGATATAATTACTTGGTGGCTCATCCCACTTAGTAAGTAGGTTATAATCCCAGTTATAAGTGGATTAACCCGCTCCTTATCCCATGTAAATCACTGAGGTTATAACCTACTTACGATTCGTGGGTAGTTCGCCACCAAGTAGAAATCACCACCATGTTTAAATGACCTAATCTAACCTACATCATCTTGAGTGGATGGAACAGCGCCCCCAAGTAGGGATTTAAGCACCAAACAAACTTAGGCAATGGTGATGTTACCCTCTGGTAATTTGTTACAGTTTGCTATTGAAAATGGCCATTTGTAGTGGATGTTCCCATTAAAAATGGTGATTTTCCATAGTTATGTTAGTTTACCAGAGGGTATGTTTTTATGCTGAATAAATGAGATTCTACCTGACCAACAATGAGAATTCCAGGCAAACCCACCAGGAATTCTCCACCAAAAACAGTTGGATTTGTGACTTATACTTGATTTATGATCTAGATCATTCACAATACCCTTTGGTAAACTAATAGTTTGCGACATTGAAAGCGGCCCATAGAAATAGTTGATTTACCGAACTTTAAGATGGTTTTTCTTTCCAGTTCGCAAACTGTTAGTCATTCCCAGAGGCTAAATTCCAATCCAGGTACCCGGCCTGGTAAACATACAAAAAAATATGGAAAATCACCATGTTCAATGGGAAAATCCACTATAAATCGACTGGGCCATGGCTTCAAAAAATAGCAAACTGGCCACTCTGGGGATTCCCAGAGATCATGTGTGGTGAGGCTGAGGCTGGATCCATAGAAATCCTAAGTACCCAGCCCAGTTTGCACCAGGCCACACATATCTGTCGATGACTCTGATGTCAATATGAACGAACGGTGCTACCCCCAGAATATCCATAGTTTTAACCAGTGGTTTATGAACGAACTATATGGATGTACATGTTCTATATTATTCTATATGGTCATCCATACCAGAAATGGGAATCTCAACACAACAATGGGTACATAATGACATAATGAATCCCTATGAAAATGGGTTGATGATTCCCGGCCATTGACTGGGCAACTAACTTCACCATCACACTGACTCCAGTTATCGTCTCAGTCAGCCTGTATCACCCACTATCAACCGAGTGAGCCTCAGCAAAATGTTTGTTGGTTTAGAGTCACCGGTTAAACTAGTTCGATATATATATATATATACATATATATATTCCATAAGTCCCATGATATGTCCTTACAAAGTATATACACCAACTTAGCTAACTAAATCCCAACTAGAATCCCAACAAGAATCTCATGAAATCACCCGACAACTCTGGTGAACTTTGATTTTCAAATCCTGCCTGACCCTCTCCCAGCCATGTAGCGGCGCACACTGGAGCCCTCGCACGGAAAACGGGGTAGCAACAATCATGAAGGATATGATGGGGGATATTATGAGGATATGATGGTGGTCTAAACTTAGAAGGATTACCATATGGGTATGACTAACAGTTTGCCATGGAAAATCCACCCATTTTTAAGAGGTAAACCATTTCTATGGGCCATTTCCCATGGCTATGTTGAATAACCAGAGGGTATTTAGAGAATAATTGGTCAATGATTGTGATAAATGAGAACCGTTTGTTGTTGAAAATGGGTTCTATAACCTCCTAATTTATCGGAATAGAATGAAAGGGATATAATACATTACAAGCATGTCACCAACAAATATCATAGCTCCATAAAATTTGTTCTATAGCCTCCTGCCCTCTGGTAAACGTTGACATAACTATGGAAAATCACCATTTTCTAGCTGGGTAAATCAACTATTTCTATGACCAGTTTCTATGTCGCAAACTGTTAACGTTTTACCAGGCCGGGTAGAGGTTTATAGCTGGGAAAATCATCTATTCATCAGCTATAAATCCCATGAAACCCACATTTTCCTATGGTTTCCCATGGTCACCAAGAAATGTGGAGTGGTGAACCAGGTCACCTCCCGATCAACCCATCCAGTTTCTTCATCCAGGTTGACCTTATGACGGTACCCATAGGCTACCCTCTGGTAATTTCTTACAGTTTGCGAACTGGAAAATGGCCGATTTATAGTGGATTTACCCATTGAAAATGGTGATTTTCCATAGTTTTTTCTATATTTACCAGCGGGTAGCAGATGTTTGAATCACAAAATGATGTTCTCAACCGTCAAATCTAGGTATATACCCTATTTCAGCACCAAAATTATGTGACGGTTCAAGGCACTCGTGGGGGCAGAAAGGTTGCTACTTTGATCATCTTTGATCAACCAATCTATCCATATATCCCATCATATCCGAGTCGGATTTATGATTATCACAAAAGTATAACAACAGTATAAAACCATCATAAATCAACCATCATATCAACCAATAAAACCCAGTAAAACCAGCAAAACCATAATATCCGATATTATCCCCAATATATTCCATGTCAACCAATGATTTTCCCATCCCCCGGAGACACCGGAGAGTACCGGAGAGTACCCCAGCCTGTGACCCCCAAGCACTAAGGATGGGAAGGAGAAGGCTCGAGGAGTATCCTGCCAAAAAACAGACACATTGGTTTCTGCGAGAAAAAAAAAATCGCTAAGAATTTGCTTGGATGATCTACCACACGGGATATATGTAACCATGTATCCCATATATCGTTATATCGTCTGGTAAACTAACATAGCTATGGAAAATCACCATGTTTAATGGGTAAATCCACTATAAATCACCATTTTCAATAGCTATGTAACAGATTACCAGAGGGTATCGTCTGTACAAAAATTACATAAAATTACCATATATCCCATATCCCGGATTTCTTCAACCCATCTCACATGAAACCTGCGTCCGGTTTCAGCCAGGAATCCAAGAGGTATTGTGCAAAATCACCAAAATAGAAACTATCCCATAGGTTATCATCACATGCAATAGTATCATCTAATGCTCTCATAGGTTATTATCACATAGGTTATGAAAATATCCCATAGGTTATCACCCATAGGTTAATATATTTTCTTGCTTTCTCATATGGAGAGAGCCCCCATGAAAATACCAAACAAGATGGAAGCCACGAACCCGAATGTATTCACGTTCTTGGACTACGAGTGCAAACCTCTGCAATAGGAAAACGAACCGATGTTTGCATGCATCGTGCGGTTCACAAAGAAACAACTAACCAGCACAACAACATCACCACAAGCACAACGAAATCACAACCAGCACAGCAATATCACCAGCGCAATGAAATCACAACAAAATCACCAACACAACAGCATCACCAGCACAGCAACATCACCAGCACAACGAGATCACCACCACCTGCCACACTCCACACTTTACCCACTGCACACTCCACACTCTACACTTTACACTCCACACTCCGCACACTACACTTTACACTCCACACTCCACACTCTACACTTGACACTCTACACTTTACACTCTACACTTAACTTGACACTCTACACTTCACACTCGACACTTTCCGCTCCGCAATCCACACTCTACACTTTATACTCCAGGCTCCACACTTTACACTTTTCACTCCTCACTCCACGCTCTACCCTCCACACTCCACACTCCACCACACTCAACACTCTACACCCACCACACTCCTCACTCCACACTCCACACTTTACATTCCACACGCCACACTTTACACTCCACACTCGCCACTTTCCACTCCACACTCCACACTCTACAGTTTACACTCCACACTTTACACTCCTCACTCCACACTCAACACTTTACACTCCACACTCCTCACTCCTCACTACACACACTACACTCCACACTCCACACTTCACACGCCACACTCCACCACATTCTACACTCTACACACACCACACTCCTCACTCCATACTCCACACTTTACACTCCACACGCCATACTTTACACTCCACACTCCACACTTTACACTCCACACTCCACACTTTGCACTCCACACTCTACACTACACTATACACTCCACACTCCACACTCTACACTTTACACTCTTACTTTTTACAATCTACACTACACATTCCACACTCTACACGCTCTACACTCCCCACTCCACACTATACAAAGCACTTCCCAGCACCACTTTGTACTGCAAAGCTTGCGCAAACTACTTCCCAGTACTTTGTACTACACAGCTTGCACGAAGCACTTCCCAGTACTACTGTGTACTACACAGCTTGCACAAACTACTTCCCAGTACCACTTTGTACTACAAAGCTTGCACGAAGCACTTCCCAGTACCACTTTGTACTACAAAGCTTGCACGAAACCGTTCCCAGTACTACTGTGTACTACAAAGCTTGCACAAAGCACTTCCCAGTATTACTTTGTACTACAAGGTTTGCAAAGTCGTTCCCAGTACTACTGTGTACTACAAAGCTTGCAACAACTACTTCCCAGTACTACTTTGTACTACAAGGCTTGCAAAGTCGTTCCCAGTACTACTGTGTACTACAAAGCTTGCAACAACTACTTCCCAGTACTACTTTGTACTACAAAGCTTGCACAAAGTCGTTCGCAGTACTACTTTGTACGACAAAGCTTGCACAAAGTCGTTCCCAGTACTACTGTGTACTACAAAGCTTGCACAAACTACTTCCCAGTACTACTGTGTACTACAAAGCTTGCACAAAGTCGTTCCAGTACTAATGTGTACTACAAAGCTCGCACAAACTACTTCCCAGTACTACTGTGTACTACAAAACTTGCACAAAGCTCTTCCCAGTTACTACTGTGTACTACAAAGCTCGCACAAACACGTTCCAGTACTAATGTGGACTACAAAGCTCGCACAAACTACTTCCCAGTACTACTGTGTACTACAAAACTTGCACAAACACGTTCCAGTACTACTGTGTACTACAAAACTCGCACAAACACGTTCCCAGTACTACTGTGTACTACAAAGTTCGCACAAAGCACTTCCCAGTACTACTTTGTACTATGACAAAGCTTGCACAAAGCACTTCCCAGTACTACTGTGTACTACACATGCACAAACACGTTCCAGTACTACTGTGTACTACAAAGCTCGCACAAACACGTTCCCAGTACTACTGTGTACTACAAAGCTTGCACAAAGTCGTTCCCAGTACTACTGTGTACTACAAAGCTTGCACAAAGCACTTCCCAGTACTACTTTGTACTACAAAGCTTGCACAAAGCACGTTCCAGTACTACTTTGTACTACAAAGCTTGCACAAAGCACTTCCCAGTACTACTTTGTACTACAAAGCTTGCACAAAGCACTTCCCAGTACTACTTTGTACTACAAAGCTTGCACAAAACACTTCCCAGTACTACTTTGTACTACAAAGCTTGCACAAAGCACTTCGCAGTACTACTTTGTACTACAAAGCTTGCACAAAGCACTTCCCAGTACTACTGTGTACTACAAAGCTTGCACAAAGCACTTCCCAGTACTACTTTGTACTACAAAGCTTGCACAAAGCACTTCCCAGTACTACTTTGTACTACAAAGCTTGCACAAAGCACTTTCCAGTACTACTTTGTACTACAAAGCTTGCACAAAGCACTTCCCAGTACTACTTTGTACTACAAAGCTTGCAGAAAGCACTTCCCAGTACTACTTTGTACTACAAAGCTTGCACAACGCATTTCCCAGTACTAGTTTGAACTACAAAGCTTGCACAAACCACTTCCCAGTACTACTTTGTACTACAAAGCTTGCACAAAGCACTTCCCAGTACTACTTTGTACTACAAAGCTTGCACAAAGCACTTCCCAGTACTACTTTGTTTTACGAAGCTTGCGCAAAGCACTTCCCAGTACTACTTTGTACTACAAAGCTTGCACAAAGCACTTCCCAGTACTACTGTGTACTACAAGCTTGCACAAAGCACTTCCCAGTACTACTGTGTACTACAAAGCTTGCACAAAGCACTTCCCAGTACTACTTTGTACTACAAAGCTTGCACAAAGTCGTTCCAGTACTACTGTGTACTACAAAGCTCGCACAAACTACTTCCCAGTACTACTGTGTACTACAAAGCTCGCACAAAGCACTTCCCAGTACTACTGTTGCGAGTCAATATGTTTGCTAAAAGCTGTTTTTAGTAAATATTTTTTTTAATGATTTTTTTATGATTTCAATATGGTTTTGGTTTATGGTTTTGATTTTTGGCATTTTTTGGTTTATGATTTTGATATGATTTTGATATGATTTTGATATGATTTTTTATGGTTTATTTTATGAAAATGAAAGATTTTTTTATGTTTTTTATGGTTTTTGAAAATTTTGAAGGTACAATTTTCCATATTTTATATAAATTTTATATAAATTTTATATAAATTTTATATAAAATTTATACATTTTTTTGTGTGTTTTTATGTTTTTTTTAATGTTTTTTGTTTTTTTTAAAAAAAAAAACAACAAAACATTAAAAAAAATCATGAATTTTTATGTAAATTTTGTATAAAATTTATGGGTTTTTTATGTTTTGTTTTTTGTTTTTTTTGAAAGTTTTTATGGTTTTTTATGGTTGTTTAGTAATTAATAACTAGTAATTTAGTAACCAGTGACTCGAAAAAAAAGGAACTAATAAGTACAAACTGGTAAATGTTAAGACTGTTAAGAGTAGAGTCTGCCCGCCGCAGGCGGAACTTTTTCTACTGTAGCAAAGGTGTCGTCACTAAAGTACTTTATTTTTATCTTAACTTGGAAAAAATTATTGTAACGATTGGCCCGCCGCAGCGGTTATTTTTTAACTGGAGCAAAGGTGTCGTCACTATATCTTGTTTTTTTATTTTAAGTATATAGTTACTAACTGTAACTATCTGCTCGCCGCAGGCGGAAAAATATTGTAGCAAAGGTGTCGTCACTAAAGTATTTCATTTTAGATTAAAAAAAGTAACTAACTTGTAACTATTTAATATTTAACTATTGGCCCGCCGCAGGCGGTAATTTTTTACTGTAGCAAAGGTGTCGTCGCTATAGACTATAGTTTTTTATCTTAAGTGTAAATAGTAACTTAGTAACTGTAACTATCTGCCCGCCGCAGGCGGAAAAAAAAATGTAGCAAAGGCGTAGTCTTATCTGAATCTTAACTGTAACTATGTAACTATTTACCCGCCGCAGGGGGCGAAAAATAATTGTAGCAAACGCGTAGTTTTATCTTAACTGTCACTATGTCACCATTTACCATTTTGCCGCCGCAGGCGGGAAAAAAATATACTAAGCCTAAGCTCACCACCCAGTAGAAGTAGCAACTGTACGTACAGCTACAACTAAAGTATTTGATTTTACTATTTACTGCCAGAAAAAAAAAGTAAGACTGAACAGAGGATAGTAGTAGTAGTAGTAGTAGTCAAGTACCTCACTGCAGGTGTAGCTGTAGTTTCCGGAATTTTTGACATACTGCACCCGGAAAAAATCCATAAAAAAATCCATAAAAAAATCATAAAAAATCCATAAAAAAACCATAAAAAATCCATAAATAATCCATAAATTTTATATAAAATTTATGGAAAATTTATGAAATCATAAAAAATCCATAAAAAAAATCATAAAAGTTATATAAAATTTATG